CTGAGACTCCATCCTGGGGCTTCCCAGCCCCTCACTGTATAAGAAAAGCAATGGAACCAGATGCTGGTGGCTCACGCCTATAATCCTAGCTACTCAGGAGCCAGAGATCAGGATTGCAGCTCGAAGCCAGCCTGGGCAAACAGTTCATGAGAACCTGTGTCGAAAATAACCAATACACAAAAGGGCTGGAGGTGTGGCTCAAGTGATAGAGCGCCTGCCTATCAAGTGTGAAGCCCTGAGTTCAAACCCCAGTCCCACCAAAAAACAAGAAAAGTAGTGGATGAGGAGAGGCAACATGGGGGGGTGTGAAGGTTGAGTTGGGGGTAATTGGGCTGTATTTAGTCTCCAGCCTCCATTTTTCTCACCTGGAAAATGGGGATGCTCACACATAGCCCAGGGTTCCAGGAGATTCTGATGCTCTGTGATTTGGTTGGCTGGGTATCCTCCTCCCTCCCCTCCTTTGGGTCTGGTTTCCTGGAACCACCCAGGCTTTGCTCTGTGGCTTTTCTCAAGGCCTAGACTCCTCTCTTTCTCAGGATGTCTTAATGCTGTCCTCCAGGGCTGGACTCTACCTGTGGGCACCCTGCTCCCCTCTCCTCCTTCCTCCCAGGGTCCTCAGAACGAGGGCATCTCCCCACATTTCCCATGTCCAGTCTTTGCCCACTCTGGGCCTTCCACCTGGAATGTTCCTCCTTCCTGGCTGGTGCCTGCCTCAATTCAAAGCTTTGCTAGGCCTTCTAGGCATTGATGAAAAATACCTTTTCTTTCGAGAAACTTCTCTTTCGTTCTGTCCTTCCCCTGCCTTCACAGCACCTGCTTGGGTACCAATGAATAATCACTAGGACCATGGACACCATCAGGTACTAAGTGCTCTGAGTGTTTATTATTAAATGGTGGCGTGGGTGTATGGCCACTTTGTCCCTGTGCTCTTGCAACTTCTCTGACTCTCTGATCTGGACTCCACCATAGGAATCTCTTTGGCCAATGGGACTTTGGCGAGCAGTAGGATAAGAGGTTGGAGAAGGCACTCAAGCATTTCCACACACTCTCTTAGACCCCTGAGACTGCCACAGAACATGCTGGGCCGGCTTGCTGGAGGACATAGTGGTTTTTATCTCCAGATCAGCCACAGTACAATGTGAAGGCAAGCCCATTTGCACTGACCAGAAGAACTGTACAGCACACCCAGGCAAGGGCAGCAGAAATACCCAGCTGACTTCAGGACTCAGGAGTGATAGCACAGTTAGGTCTTAGGACTGTTTGTTATGCAGCATTAGCTAGCTGATACAAACAGCACCACCTTTATTATTACTAAGTACTTTCTGTGTATCAGAAAACCCCATGAAACATCCGAATGATAAATATTGTATCATTTGGTCTTCACCTGAGTTAGGAGACCAGTCCCGTTATAAAGCTGTGACTAAATTGACTCAGTATTGGCTTTCCTGTGGCCTTCTCCTGGCTCTTCTGCTTTCCAGCTGTGATATCTTGGGCAAGTTTCTTTCATTATTTGTGTGAGTGTGTGTGACTCAGTTTCCAAAGCTATAAAAATAAAGATGACAACAGTTATGACAATTATTGGCTTGTTTTATCAGATTCATTTAACATTTGTAAATTGGAAGACTTACACGTAGTAATAAAATGTCAGCATACTGTTTTTTCTTTTTCTTCTGTTTCCTGGTTGCCTGGCAACCAGGAGTTTTCATACTTGACCCCTCCATATAGATGGAGGGTGCTTCCAGACCCGGCCATATTGAGCGACTCTGTGTGCCCCATACCATGTCTTGCCCAGAGACTGAAAAGCTGCTTTGATCCACTCAGTGAGAAATTAAACTTGGACTTGGTGTCCTCAGCAAAGCAAGAGACTGAGTGGACACACAGGGCGGGTATGATAGACCCACCTGGAAATAGCTAGAGTAGGGGGACCTTCAGTTAGACTCAGAAAGGACTTCCCGCAAGGCTGGAGAAACTGCAGATGTTCCTGTGTCCCTCAGACAAACATGTCCTGCCTTTCTCTAGCACTCACTGAGCGAGTTTATACATTCTCAAGTAGCCATAATTCTGTCTGGAGACAAGGGGGCGGTGGTAAGAGCAGTGACCTCCTCATGCCCCTGCCGCCCCAGAAATCCTTCTGAGGATCCAGGCAAATGCAGACAGCCCGCTCCCTTCTCCTGTTTTTCTGTGCAGCTGTCTCTGTATTTCAGAGTTCACGTCTCTGCCAGGGACTCTATTTTGGGATTTGTGGGAACCGGCTGGTTTCACAAATGGGAAGTTCTAGAAATCTCAGCAAGTTGTGCCCCTGGCCTCCTGGCCTACTCTGAGGGCAGGGGACAGTCACAGAGATTCCAGCAGGAGCAGGCTAGAGGGTGCCTTTTCCCATAGAGCCCCTCCATCTCGTGCCAAGTGGGCACCGATCCAGGCTGCTGCCCGGCCCTGCTGGCCAGGCTGGGCTGCTCAGGCCATTTCTCCACAAGTCCACAAGCTGGGCTTTGATGAAAGCTGACACCCAATCGCCACCACATCCCCAGTCTCTTCCGCATGGAGGAAAGTGGGAAGTGGCAGGAGAAAGGCCGGTGCTGACACGCTGGGCCTCTCGGGCCAAGGACTGAGGGCCATGGCTGGGTCTACAGGGAGGTGGGCAGTTTGCAATCAGGCACATGGGTTTGTGTCTGTGTGTCCATCTGGATCCTGAAGGTCCATGCTGGCACTGTGCACGGCTGTCCCCAGGACATGCTGGTGAAAGGGCCAACCCTGTGTTGTCATGGAGAGGATCGTGAGTGTGTTGATTTTACAGTGTGTGTGTGTGTTAGACTTATATATCTGTTTTCATCAATTCTGGAAGCCGTTATCTTTACACTCTTTTTTTTGTTTTTGGTTAGTACTGAGGTTTGAACTCAGGACCTCGTGCTTGTTAAGGCAGGCGCTCTCCGCTTGAACCACTCCACCAGCCCTTCTGTGTGTGTGTGTGTGTGTGTGTGTGTGTGTGTGTGTGTGTGTGGTGTTTTTTGAGATAGATTCTCAAAAACTATTTGCCCAGGACTGACTTCAAACTTCAGTCCTCCTGATCTCTGCCTCTTGAGTAACTGAGATTACAGGAGTGAGATACTGTCTCCCGGCTATGTTTAACATTTGATTTCACCCAGTTTGCCTCAGTAAATTTCTTCATTGTTTAAAAGCAATGTGATTTCTTTCACAGAAAGCAACATATATGCCATATGTATTTATATAGAAACTGGAGATCAGAGATGTCATGCACATATATTTGATTAAATACTAACAAATACAAGAAAGAAAATATACTATAATTGCAAAGAACAGATGACAATGATACATAATTTATACAAATGCTGATATATGAACCCACTTCCCAGACATAACCATTGTTAATAGGTTTTACATTTTTTCTAGTCTTTTCCTGTTCGACAGATGTCCTAAAATGTAAACTCCATGAGAGCAAGAATGGTGTCAGTATTAGTCACCACTGAACACTTCATAGCAGACACTCATACAGAGGCACATACAGGCATGCATCCTGTGTGCACTCATTATTACATTTTACAATGTATTTTAGAAATCTTCCCCCTGACTACAAGTCAGTTCTCCAGGCTCCTATGCTCACTTTCTTTTGTGGGAAAACCATAGATAATTTAAACATCTTCCATTGTTGGAGTTTTACATCATTTATACTCATTGCAAACAAAACTGCAAAAAGCATTCTTTTAGCCCAAGATGAATGCAAATTTCTTTGTAGGAATGAAGAGAAGCGACCACCAGGTCAAAGGGTGATCATGTGTTGATAGCTTTTGTGTTTTCTGGGTTGTTCTGAGGATTGAGAGCCTGCTAGGGAAGTAGGTTACCACTTGAACCATGTCCTAGTTCTATTTGGTTTGGTTTATTTTTCAGATAGACTCTTGTTAACTTTGCCCCACCTGGTCTCGAACTTGACATCCTCCTGCCCCCATCTCCACTCGCGGAGTAGCTGGGATTATAGGTGTAGGCCACCATACCTGGAGTGCTGATGGTTTTTGATAACAATGCTTGGCACACAATAGATACACAGTCAGTCATTGTTGATCACAAGAACTGATGGTTGGGACAGACACCTCCTGCTCTATCTACCTGCTCCTGGCCAACCAGATCTCAGCTGAAGTTGGGGGACTTGGGAAAGAAGGCAGAACTGGAGACATAACCCTCACCTCCCCACTCTAATTCTGTGCAGAGGACACTTAGCCTCTGGGAGTCATGCTCCTCCCCAGGCACCTGCCCTAGAGCTCTATCCTGCAGGAAGGACAGACCACCGAGCTCTAGGTGTGGCACCGTGGCTCCCACCACCCACCTATCCAAAGCCCTGATGTGTGACATTGATTTCTGGGGTGACGGAAAAGCTGGGACGATTCATATCCAGTTTCCCATCCATGATTCATTCATTGATCTCCACTGACACTAAAATATCCACTAGGGACAGCAGGACAGGAAGGACCTTGGCTAGGACAAGTGGGCGAGTGACTCATGGTTGAGACTCAGATTCTGGCCTGAGGATGAAAATTCCAGGAAGAAGATAGGGTGGCCCAGGGACATTCTGGAGCCTGAGAACCCCACTGGGCTCTGGACCAGAGGGAGGTGGTGTCGACCAGACCCAGACCTGAGAAGATAGCACCAAATGGAGCCACCTTCCGGGACCCCCTCCTGAAGTGTCCCTATCACTTAGGGTTATATCACACTACTGTTTCCCTTGTTTGTTATCAGGCATTATTTTACACACAGTAAAATTCCCCAGTTTTAATTGTCCCCTGCATGGACTGTGGTACTCGTCACCTCACCAGCACAATGGGAGAGAGAGATAGTCCTGTCATTATCCTGAAAGGCCTTCCTTTCCCTCACCCCCGGCCCAGGCAACTCCCAATCTTCTCTCTGTCCACACAAATTTGCTCTTTTCTAGAATTGCATAAAAACGAAACCACACAGTGCACAGTCTCTTGGGTTGGGCTTTTTCCACTTACCGTGGTGTTTTGGAGACGTGTTCATGCAGTTAGGGGTAGAGTTAGGCCATGGGTCTGCTCCGTGGAGTTGCTAAGTGGATTTCCACAGAAGGATACATACCATCGTTTACTCATTCACCCGCTGATGGCACAGAGAGGTGACAAATCTTTCCAAATCCACACAGCTCCCAGGCACAGGAGCTGAACATGGGACCAGCTCTGAATGCACAGTCCAAATGGGGTGGTATCAGGGAATCCGTCAGCCCCAGCTGTGGAGGTGATGGGGGACCTGATCCAGTCACTTTCCTCTACTGGCTTCGTGCTGGGGAAAAGGTTTTTCTGCTCTCCTCACTGGGCCAACAGCCTATCGTCTTCTACGTGAGGCTAGAGGGGCCAAGAGGGATCAGGTATCTTCCCCAGTGTCGAGCAGCCTGTGAGTGACAGAGTCAGAATCTGAACCCTGATCTCATTCTCCATTTGTGTTTCACACCCCACTTTCTGCCATGTGCCATCTGCTTCCAACAAAGGAATGATCCCTGCTGCATCCCTGGCCTTGCCACCCTAGCCCTCCCTGCTAACCTTTGGATGGACACGAGTCAGTTCTCAGAGTTCCTCACTGGAGGACAGAGGCCATCGGTAGCCGGGCAAATGACAGACGATGTGTCCTATCAGCCTCACCCGAACGCTTGGCCACGCCAGCCTCAAGCTCTGTTCTGTGCAGTGCGTCCACTCAGGGGAAGGACCATCACCACGTGCAAAGCTCACTTGCAGTGGTGGCACGATCTGCGACACGCTGATTGCCAGTTCCCAGGCAGCTCTGTGTCCTGAAGACGGACTTCCCAGGCAGTCCCATGCCACACCTTCCGTGTCTGTAAAAGCAGGCCATGGAAAGTTACACACAACACACACTCACAACACTCTCATACACTATACAACACTCGAACACGCTCACACAAAACACAGTCACGCACACAACACTCACACAAAACCTCTCACACTTGCACACACTCATGCAACACTCTCACGCTAACACACATTGCACACCCATGGATCCACGCCCCCCCACTTTTCATACTACACCTATGTACACGTTTGCACTCTGAGACGCATTCCCACCCAACACGGCCACAGGCACACCCACATAGCAAACACACACGCCTACCTAGTGCACATAACAAACTCACGTCCCTATAGCGGAGCCTGGCATAAAAACACCAGACTTACGGTTTTGAGATATCCAAGCAATTGCACACTCACAGGTATACAAACTTACACACGTATCTTCCCATACACATGTGCACATTTGCATCCACACGTAGCAAAGCTCCCCACACAGCCACTTACACAGATAGACACGCAAACATGCTTACACATGCATTCGCTCATGGCCATGCTTGGACACACGTGCACCTTGCTCCTGTGCAGCCCTCTGTAGGAAAGCACACACGCACAGCTTGCACGGGAGCTATGCATAAAGCACACCCTGCAGCTCATGAATTCTGGAACCCAGAATTTGTCAACTTGGTTCTTCGGACTCAGAATTTTCTACACTTAACCTTCTCTTCCCCTCACGCTCCACAGTCCCTCCTGCAACCCTCACTTCCTGCTTGGAATATCTAGTGAAATGGCTCCTTGTGACGCTTCAGTGAGGACACTCGATCGCTTTGGAGACACATGGGGACGGTGTGTCCCAGGGGTGCTGAGCCCCAGGAGGTTCACAGCAGCCTCCAACGCGATGGGTGAATGTTGTATTTATTTGCAGACAAGATCACACCTCCTCTAGGGAATTTTCCTCCTCCCGCCCAGAAATCCTCTCTCCTCTGTCCTCACACAGGGCATTATTTACACCTCTGCTTTAAGGCCAGCTCCTTGGCCTTGTTTGAAAGTTTTTCTGGACATTTGGAACTCCCAGAGGGCAAAAAACATGTCTAAATTACTTTGCTTTCCCCTACGGCTGAGCTGCTGATCCGTGGCACTTGTAGGTGTTCAATAAAATCAAATTGAAATAATTATTGTTTTGATGATGCAGAAAAATAAGCATAGATGATTGGCCAGATGGGATGTCAATCAACACGTGAGTGTGGCTGGCTAGACCTGCAGCTTGGGGTGAGGGGAAGCCTGGCAAACTACCGTATTTCACAGACTATAAGGGACCCCTGACTGTGGTGCTCCAATATATATCTCAGTAATGAACGAGAATCAGCGCTCTCAATTAACCTCAACTCATGCTTCCTTCCCTCGCCACAGAGAATTTTTATTTCACATACATTCGAAGAGCTAGTTTTCATTTACTGAGACAAAGTTGCTCTGGCTTTTAGCATACACGTCTCTGATACATAATTTAAAAGGGAAATAAAAATGAAATACATTTGGTTCAGAATTTCCTGAAATTTCTCCAATTCTGAGAGTGAGGTTTTTTCTGATCTCTCTTTAAATCAAAGTGATCAATGTTTGCATTTTTCACAGGATTCTAGTCTCTATCAAGGACACAGATCGTGCAAACTATCATAAGAAAGTGCTTCCCTATTCTTTCCAGAATTTTCTCCTAAGGAAATACCCACTCTACAAGTGGTATCACTGGTACTTTTTTTAGGGGGTCTGGGGTTTGAACTCAGGGCTCTGCATTTACAAGGCAATACTCTAGTACTTGAGGCACACCTACAGTCCTTTTTGCTCTAGCATTTTGGAGATGGGGATCAGGCTGATCTGGGCTACGTGACCCTCCTATTTTAGGCTTTCTGCCTTTGCTGGGATGACAAGCGTGTGCCACCACACTCAACTTTTTTCCATTGAGATGGGGTCTTGCAAACTGTTTTGCCTGGGCTGACCTGGAACCACAATCCTCCTAACCTCAGCCTCCCAACTACCCAGGTTGACAGGCGTGTGAAAATGCATGCACCCAGCTATTGACTGAGATGGGGGTCTTGTGAACTTTTCCCCAGGCTGTCCTCAAACTGAAATCCTCCTGATCTCAGTCTCCCAAGTAGCTAGGATTACAGACAAGTCATCAGTGCCTGGCCTGTTGGTACTTTCTAGATCTTACCAAAAGGTGCTGAAGAAAGGTTTGCAGGCTACAACCAGGACAGGCCCTGGATCATAACTGCTCACTTTTCTGCAGGTTTCCCTCTAAGACAGGACGGGGATGTCTCACTTTGTGTTTTTGACACAGCACAGACTCTCAAGATAGAAAAATGTCCTGACAGAAAATAAGGGAGGTGATGGAGAGCCTTCGTCTCTCCCACTCTGGGTGGGGTCACCTCTTACCCACAAGGCTGTGACGGCCACAAGAACAAAGCTGACGTCAGACTCCTCTGGACCAGTGCCTGGCTCAGAAAAGAAGAAAAACAAGACGTTTTCCAGTGGTAAAACATCCAGATTGCTCTTAGCGTCAGGTCTGGGCTCCTCGCCTCTGGCAGCAGTGTGCGGTGCTGGGTGGGTCACTGCTTTGAAGTGTCTTTGCCTGTTGGAGGGAGGTAGAAATGGCCGCTTCGTAGGAGGGTCAGTTCTTTTGATTTCATTCTTTAACATGTTAGATGACTACTCTGTCGCCCACTGTGGACCAGGTGCTCCCGAGGTAGAGATGAGTAAAAAGAGCAACCAAGGCAGTGGGTCTCAACCCTCACTGCACGTGGCCAGGAGAGACCGAGTGGAATGCTGGCACGTGGGGTCCACCCCTTGGAGTATTCAGACATCAGTCCAGTTGGGACCCAGACTTCCACATTTTTTAAAAGGCTTCAATGATTTGCACTGCGTTCTGGGTCTGAGATCACGGGTGATCGGCCACTGCAGGCTAAGTACTTAATAAAAATGCACACTCTCATTGTGATCTGTCTGCTTTACCACTACTCATCACCCCATCCCTCAGCCCTTTGATTTTAAAAGCAAAAATCTTGTACCTGCAACTTATCAGTGGAAAAAGACTCAAAAAAACAGTCATGTTACTAAGCAGAGTTGGGATTTGAAGTCAAGCCTGTCTGGCTTTCTTCTCCTTTCCCCCTTTCCCAATGAAATACTGCAAGCCAATAAAATTAGAGAGAAAAATGTAAAGGTAGCATGTATTCAAATGCAGAGTTTTGAAGTCCATCATTTACTCATTCAACAAACATTCAATAAGTACTTTGTATGTGCAAGGCTCTGTTGTGGTTATTGGGGAGAAGTCTAGAACTAGCATTTTACCATATTTGCTTTAATAATGGTCTTTTCTTCAAAGAACTTCAGGTTACTAATGTAAAATAAGCTTGATGGGTAGATCTTCTTGCTCGAACTTCTCTCCTTCTCAGCTGGGGTGTAAACACCACCCTGATATCTGCAGCTATATTCCCACACGTGCTTTCACACTTTTATATTGAGTATATTCATGCACATTGCTCTGTGCAATTTCAGGCGTTTTGTATGTGATGCCCTACTGTTAAACATTCGTCACCCACAGCTTTTGTCACTCAGTGGTCTGACCTCAAGCCACGCCTGTGGATGTATTTTGTCGTGCAGTATTCCATTATTCCAAACCATGAGCGCAGGCTGGATTATCTCCTTCATTACATGTGTCAAGGCTGTCCTCAAATTTGCTTTAATTTTAACAACCCCACAATGAACGGCGTTGTGTCTGTCCCTTGCGGCAGGCGCGGGAGTGTCTCTCACACCTGTCTATCTGGGTCACAGGATACTCACACTTTGGATTTACACGACAATTCTAAGCCGCTCTTCAAGTCAAGCTAGTCACCACTGCCTCACGCCTATAATCCTAGCTACTTGGGAGGCTGAGATCAGGAGGAGTGCAGTTCAAGGCCAGCCTGGGGAAAAAAAGTTTGCAAGACCCCATCTCAAGCAATAGCTGGGTGTGGTGGAGTTCACCTGTCATCTTAAGGTGGAAGGGAGGCTGAGATTGGGAGGATCATGGTTCTAGGCTGACCCGGGCCAAAATTGAGAGCTTATCTCTGATATAACCAGATCCAAAAAGGGCTGGAGGTGTGGCTCAAGCAGTACAACGCTTGCCTTGCCAACATGAAGCCCTGAGTTCAAACCCCATTTCCAACCCTTGTGCTCCACCCCCCACAAATCAGATTGAAATCAACATTACCAGTGACAGAGTCTGAAACTGTCACTCAGCAATGCTATTTTATTCATTTTCTGCCTACCAGAGGGCTATAGAAAAAAATCGCTTCTTAGATTTGGCACCCCCTAGCCCAGTACTAATGACAAACATCTTCACTTATATCTTCTGGCCCTTTGGATTTCCTTCAGCTGTGAAATGCATGCTGTTATTTGTGTTTCATATTTTAAAAACTGGTTTATT